GGCCTGGAGAACCTGGAGCGGATCAAAGGCCTGGAGAACCTGGTCCGGACCGGACCGGACTCACGGCCTGGAGAACCTGGAGCGGATCAAAGGCCTGGAGAACCTGGACCAGGACAGTTGTCAGGGAATCAGGTGTGCTGCCTGGCAGGTGTCGTAGCTTCATGATGCTCAGGAAGAGGTTCTGAAGGTTCTGAAGGCCCGTCAGCAGTGGTTCAGTGTGTCTGGGAGCGTCGGCGTGTTCTTCAGGTCTGAGCTAAATAATCAGAGTTTCAAGTACAGCTGAGAAGTCAGAAGCGGGTTCTGCTCTGAGCTCTGAGCTCGGGGGGACCAGGAAGTGAGGCCCGGCTGGTCACTGTGCAGGACCGCTGGCGGGAGCAGTGAATGGTCTGAGTTCGTTTTATTGGTCAGGTTGAGCAGTTGTTAACTGTACACAAGTGACATCAGTGCTGAGACAGCCAATCAGGAGGAAGATTTAATGAGACACTACAACAAGTTCAACAACATGTAAAAATAGATTTAAATTAAAAGTTCATGTCTAAGCCCCGCCCTCTCTGATGTAACAGACTGCTGCCACGGCAACAGCAGAAAACCACTTCCTGTGCTCGCATCAGAACTGCACTACCCACAATGCCCTACGCGAGGCAGAGGCACAGAAAGAAAGCAACAACACAGACTGTCCTAACGATGAATAATTACTAATCAACATGTCATGCAGTGTAAATACAGGAGGAGCTATCGTATCGATCACCTAGCACCATTGATTACATATCAGGTTAGCCTCTAACTCAGATCACACGTCTCAGTCCTGTGGCAGGGGGCGGAGCCAGGTGAGCCAGCAGCCAATCAGAGCAGCTCGTACTGCCGCAGGTGCATGCGCTGGATGATGTCACGACAGTCGTTGAAGACGCGGCGGATGTTCTCGGTGTCGACGGCGCAGGTGAAGTGAGGGTAGCAGTAGTGCTTCCCGTCGCCGCTCGCCGTGCTGATCCTCTGAAACATGACGGACACGTCAGTGTCAACACGCTGCTTTAGCATGTCACATTTAACACGTCACTTTAACCCATTATCAGGAACAATGTGTGGCAGGGGGCGGGACCACATGACTTCATCCAGCCAATCAGTGAAGGTCAGGTTACATCACAACACAGTCACTGTGGCCTCCGACCAATCAGGAGTGAGCCAGAGTGATGGTTAGACTCGAGTCATAAGCTCCATAAGTGTGACTGATGATTTGGAAAGAAATGTTCCTGCATTTCAACACGTGTGTTCGTTTGTTCATGTTACTCAGACGTGTTTAACGTCGGTGGCCCAGACCTCCAGGTGTGTTAACGAGCATCCTGTAAAGGCAGGAACATGTCAGGTAAACACGTCACTATCAACACGTTAGATTTACCACGTCAATTTTGATATGTTAATTTAAGCGTGTTAGTGTCAATGCGCTGGTTTAACATGTCGCGTTCAACACGTCAGTTCTAATGTGTGGCTGCATCAGTGTGTCTCTACCAGAAACTCGTCTCTGATGAAGAACTTAGCTCTGGTCACTTTGGGGTCTTCATCAGCATCTGGAACAGCTGGAACCACACAGTCATGAACGTCAGCAGCCGTGTTCCCATGTTACACGCGTGTTTGTACATGCATGTCTTCATATGCGTGTGTATTTTTACCGTCAGCTGGAACCTGGTAGTTGGTGTATTCAGGAAAATAATCCTCCAGTTTAGATTTTCCAGCCAGAATCTTCTCAGCCAGCACGTCCTGTTTGTTCAGGAACAAGATCACTGAGATGGTCTTCAGGAACCTGCAGCCAACCACAGAGCAGAGAGGGTTAACTGCAGCCAATCACAGAGTAGAGGGTTAGCTGCAGCCAATCATAGAGTAGAGGG